AGAGGGCTCTATATGCACGAGGTGTGGGCTGGGAAGCCCAGTATAGACTTTCATGTCATCAGCTCAGAATCTGTGCTTCATGGAGGTTCTCAAAGTAGCAGATAGTTTGAAAGAGGTGAAGATAGGAAGAGACAGACATTACAGATAGTTTTGTGATATCTTTCTGGTGTCATTTGTGAAATTCTATCATTCCTAAGGCTACTAAAAGATGTGAATGATAGTCCTTATTTATATATTTCCATTTCTAGAAATTTATGTCCACAGTTATTCTAGGCTTGAAGGCATCTCTTACAGATTGAAGAATTGGCTCATCATTTATTTTATTACTCATTTATTTATTTGCCTAATGTGAGTCATGTATCAACTCATTTACTGCAAAGCACCACTCTGTGAAGATATTTTCTCCTATTTATAGACGAGGCTGTGAGATTATGAATAGTTACATGATTTCAGAGAGATTCCGCTGAAGCTTCTCTGGTTTCTCTGATTATACTTCTTCCACTTTCTGTACTGCTATTCAGAAAGACACTGGGAATCCCAGAAGACAGAGGGCCTTACGGATCTCCTTCCCAGGTATCTAGCCCAAATCATGACATTCTGAGAATTTACATAGTACACAGGATCCTAAAATTTTAGTCATTACTCCAGGTTTGTTTTCTTAACCCATTCTGTTTTTCTTTGACATTATTTTCTCTTAATTGACGTAAGGAAAGAGCCTATATTAGAGTTTCATAGTTAAGTATTGTGCTTTATTGTTGCTGATGTAGTTATATTACAGAGTGGAATGTGTGGCAAGAGAGGGGAGAATCCAAGGTAATTCAGTGGACGGCGGCAGCTTAGGGGACCAGAGGAAAGCAAAGTGAATCTTTGCAGTTAGAGATGGAGTGCTGTAGCTCTGGTGTGTGTGCGTGGGCGGGGGGGGGGGGGGGATGGCACTGGCATCTTCTGGGAACATTCCTAAACATGGCATGCTTTCAGTTTTTAAAATGTAATCTTTAACTGTGTGATAAAATTTAAAATGATGTTAAAATGTAATTCATTATAACTATGGTTAGGAAAGATGAATTGTCATTCAGTTTGAACACACAATTAAATGTGTCCAATAGGCCTGTGGGCCTGCAGTGGTGAGCTCCTGAGACAGATTTTGGTCATGTCGCTGGTGAAAGAACAAACACCTAAGATGTTGCCAGGGATGCAGAATTCATCCCCTTCTCTCTCTGGCTCTCCCTTTCCCTTCCTTCTTAGCTTTATTTTTAATCACTTAAACTGGCATCTTCTATGTTTGCTTCTACGGATAGGAGAATCCAGATGAAGTTGTTCAGGGACAGAGAAACAAGGAGTGAAATGGTGCTACCTTGGACCTGAGAAGGGAATAGGGAATCATCAGGAGAAACCTATTATCATGTCCAGATAAGTAATGATAAGATTACAGATTTTTAGATAATAGATTTATTGAACAATTATTATGTGTCAGACCCTCTGATAAATGCTTTATACGCAATACCTCATTTAAGCCTCACAAAACCTATTATACTTCCCATTTTACAGATTAAGTAACAAAGGTCCAGATAGACTAATAGTATGAGTATATCACACCTCTGTAAATGGTGAAATTAAGACATGAACTCAGACAGACTGGACCCATGTTCTTTACAATGAGATTATTATTTTTTTAGGTTTATTTATTTATTTTGAGACAGAGAGCATGAGCAGCAGAGGGGCAGAGACAAAGGGAGAGAGAGAATCCCAGGAAGGCTCTGGGCCATCAGGAGGCATAGGCTGATGTGGGGCTCCATCTCATGAACAGCAAGATTGTGACCTGAGCAGAGATCAAGAGTCAGATGCTTAACCAGCTGAGCCACCCAGGTGCACTACAATGAGATTATTAATGTGTGTGGAGCCTATAGGCTAGGACTCTCCTGGTAGCCTAAGCATAAACAGCCAGAAACCCAGGCAATGCCCTTAAACAACAGAGCAGAAAAGAGTTTGCTAGAAAATAAAAGTGGGTGAAAAACTTAGCAGCAGTTCTATAAAGAAGATGGGAGATGGAGACTTCTTATTCCCTGGCTTTCCAGAGAGGTCTAACTCCTTGTCATCTTATTTAATAAACCATTTTTCAATAGATATATTTTAATACATGGAAATATATATATTATAATACTATATAATATATATTATCATAACTATATATTATGTAAGATATGATAGTATATATTATATTAAGGTATATATATGTATATATAGGCATTATAAGATGTTAAATCAGTTGTGTTCTAAAATAAGAAAAATAACCACAATTTGAAGTTCAGAAAATTGAGTACCACGGTACTCATTGATGTCACTATTGTACAAATGGTAGGAGAGCCTTGATCCCTGATTCTTAGTGGGCAGCACACACGTGTTAACAAAGTATGCCACACTTCTCATCTCCTCCAGTCCTCATAACAATCCTATTATCCGGTGCTAATATCACTCCAATTTTATATATGAATAAGGCAAGCCCTTCCTGTAGCTGATGCATACATAGACTTCAGAATGAATCAAACATGAATATTCATTCTGGTTCTGCTGTTTACTAATTATGTTGTGTAACATGTCCTCTAAGGGTTTCATTTTTCCCTTCTTTATACTATAAGAAACCAAAGAGAAGGGACACCTTGGTGGCTCAGTCGGTTAAGCGTCCATCTCTTGATTTTAGCTCAGGTCATGATCTTATGGTTTGTGAGTTCGAGCTCCATGTTGGATTCTGTGCTCCCTTCTCTCTCTGCCTCTCCTTCCTCTTTACTCACTGGTTCTACTCTCTCTCTCTCTCTCTCTCTCTCTCTCTCTCTCTTTCTCTCTCTCTCTGCCTATCTCTCTCTCTCTCAAAACAAATGATCAAAGAAAAGAAACTTAGGAATAGAGGAAAGAAGAAGGGAGAAGCACCTTGTTGTGTTTGGTCCACATTTGGTGTTTAATGCATGCTTGTTGACTGTGTTGAATCAGGACTTCTGGGATGTTTAGCAATTCTTGGGAGCTTTTATCATTAAGTCAACCAGGCAGGAAATGTGTGAAATATCTACACAGGCAGCAAGTGGCATCTTTAAATAGTTGAGGTAGACTTTAAACTGAATTTAAACAAAGTCATTTTTCCCCCATCAAGTTCTCCCATTGTGTAATCTTGTAATATTATGACATTTTCACCTGTGATCTTACTAAAGGGCTGTATTTATAGCCTATTTTATAAATTCTTATGACTCACCCCATAAAGTCTGTCATGAACTGGAACTTTAAAAAATGAGAAAAATATCTCTGCCTCTGTTAGAGTTAAGAAATTTAAACGACACCCAAAAGTTTTTCCAGTTTTATGCTATTTATAAACTGTTAAGAAAGGGGCCTTCCCCACCACCTTCTGAGTAGGAAAGTTTATTAAGTTTTCTTGCAATCAGACATGATGATTACGGTGAGTATGATGATGATAATGATAAACCTATCTCTAGCACTTTTAGAACATATCTTTAGAGACTGATTGATGCTTTATTTTTAGGCTGCAACCATATTTGACCAGTGGAAAAATCGAGGCTCAGTGAATCTGAATTATCCCAGAAACAGCAATATGTAAATAATAGAGATAGAATAGCTATCTTCTCATTGCATCCTCATTGGTGGGGCGCAGAGAGAGATCCTGTGTCTCCTGTGTTTTGTAAAAAGCCATTCATGCCATCATGAAGGCCCACCCACATGACTTAAACTAACCCTAATTACCCATCAAAGGCCTCATTTCCACATGCTGTCATATTGGGAGACAGGACGTTAACCTATTAATTTGGGGGCAGCACAAACATTCAGTCCATGATACACTTTTTTCAGCCTCCATTCCATCCTGTTTTTGTTTATTTCATTGCTTATTTATGGGTCAGTTCTTCTAATAATGCCGTATGTTCTTTAAGACATTTACCTCATTGAATTCAGCATTCCGTAACCAAAACACAGGTCTTGGTGTATAAAGAGGATAGCAATAAATGCCATAAAAACATAATTTACTATATTATCTTGATGCCTAGTATCCCTTGAAGCAGTTGGTTTTAGATACAAAATACCTTAGCGGCACCTACGTGGTTCAGTCAGTTAAGCGTCCAGCTCTTGATCTTGGCTCAGGTCATGATCTCACAGTTCATGAGTTCAAGCTCCACATCAGGCTCCTTGCTGACACCACAGGGCCTGCTTGGGATTCTGTCTCTCCCTCTCTCTATCCCTCCCCTGCTCATTCTCTTTCTCTCTCTCAAAATAAATAAGTAAACTTTAAAAATGACACCTTAATAATGTCGTCTCTGAAGGAGTTTTCTCAAAAGAGGAACTACTATCCTGTTCATTTAAAATGGTGGATTTCAGAAACTCTAGTGTTGTAAAGCTGCTAAAATATCTATTCCAACTCTTAAAAATGATTACTAGACAGTCAGCCACCATCTTATTTCCATGGACAGAAACTAACCAGAATCCTAAATATATACTTTACTTGTCAAGAAAACAAAACAACCCAACGGCAACAATAATAATAACACATACATGTCATCTAGTCAAATCTGTGTTTAACATAAGTACATATTTCCTTTGAACTGCCATAAATAACATGCTGCCTAGCACCATCCTGCTTTGGGCTTGAGTTTATTGTTTTATGTGATATTTTGTGGCAACTGCTAATTATCATAAGCTGTCCAATAAATGTGATGGATTGTCCAATTAACTCTTCATCAGCATCCGTTTTTGAAGATGCTACCTATTGAAACTGATGACTGTTTATGACCTCCATGTTGCATATGTAGCTAATTACTCCTTGGACAATAATTATTAAGTTTCTTGTGCCTCATTCAGTCATTTTATTTTACAAATTATGATGCCACTGAGTTTCCCAATCCATTTGACTTCACAACTATGACTCTCACAGGATTACTAAAGGTCTGCTGTGGAATATATGGATCATATAAACACTGAAGTAGGTTACAGATGTGTCTGTTTTGTAGGTTTTCCATCGACCGGCACACTGACCTGGAGAGACAATTCAACATTAATGCGGATGATGGAAAGATAACACTGGCAACACCACTTGACAGAGAATTAAGTGTATGGCACAACATAACAATCATTGCTACCGAAATTAGTAAGTGCCTGGGTTTAATTCCTTCCTTGTGTGACTGGGTTCATCTTATGGCTGGTGATCACATGACAAATGGTCCCTATTTGCATCAGATATTTTGGCATTAGAACTTATTTTAATGTTCCCAAGGAGCCTTTGAATGAATTGTCTCAACATGAGATAACTTGCCCAGTGGTAAATTACCAAAGTTTGCAATATATATAGGAAGGAAACATTCTCATATCCAAATATTCATATATATATTCAGCCGTCAAAAATAATGTTTTGCATATTAAAATATGGGGGAAACAGTGTGAAAGGGTAGGTAGAAAAAAGAACTCAAGTATTATATAAATGGGCCAATTACATAAATAGGCCAAACATATATATTATATACAATTAATGAAACTATGGTTCACATATTTAAACCACACACATACATATTCACATATGCAGACAGAAAATATAGAAGGAAACTTCATAGTATCAGTGCATAGTATTTTGTAGTGATAAAATTATAGATGATTTGGGGTTTTTTTTTTAGTTAAATGTATTTTACGTGGTAACCATTCACTGTTTAAAACTGTAACTTTAGTATAATTGCTTTCATAAATTACATGTGAAAATGTAAGCCTTTTTTTAATTTAGAGGATGTTCCAGGTTTGTTAAAATAATGTATGTTCATATTTCAATCAGTTTTTAGTGAGGACAGCTTCTTTGATTGTATGAACTGCCAGTATTACTCAGTCTTTAAACAGTAGCTGTATGCTGGAATTTTGTGCTGCACTGTCTTTGAGAATTTGCACTCAGCCTCAGCAATCTTTATTATACAAAAAGAATGTAATATTCATCTTATTTCCAAACAAAATACATTTTGCATATTATCTGATGACCTTCTCTCCATAAAGGACCTGATAAGGCCTTTACAGTTTACACAGATTCAAGAGGGACAAAGTTTTGAATGAGCTGGGAATCCTCATAAGGAAATTAAAATCAACATTAAGAAAAATTCATGGGCATATATACAATATAGAGTGTATAGATGACAATTAATGGATGTGGGATCTAAAATCTGCTCTGTTCTCTCTCTAAAATTTCCTCATGGTTTCACATGTGGGAAAACAGGGCAAACATGTCTGAGACACATGATTAATTTGTTGGTACAAATGAGCAGTCCATGCCATAAGGAGGGCACTGCTTTTCCATGTTCTGAGATATGGGAGAGGGGGATGTCCCCCATGAAGCCTTATTAAAAACAAACAAAACAAAAGAAAACCAACAAAAACACTATGTGAAAAAAGTGAAGACTTTTTTTATGTCATCCTTGAATGCAAGCAGAGGACCTACAGTTAGGTTGATATGTAACTTCAGCCCTACCAAATGGAGGGTTCTGGAGAGGGCATGAACTTTAGAAACTCTCCTGTTTTTCTGCCCAAGGAGTAGTGTTCTCTTCCTCACTGTGTTATTCTGGTAACAGTTATGCTTCACTAACATTAAGGGATAAAGCAAACCAATGATACTACTTGGTAACTGGTTTATTAGAAACGTTAACCCCATCTAGAGAAGTACAGACATGAAATTTCTATAATTTACAACATTGAAGCCACATTATTACCTTAAGCCTCAGAGAAGAACTGTATACATTTAGATTGCTTTAGGGCTTTATAAAACTTCTTTAAAGGATCACAGTTTTCTTTATGCAGGCAGTAATTACTTTTTCAAGAACTTTTCTTATATTGAATGCAACCTAGTTGAGTTAGCCTTGATCCATGACACTTATTTTTTATGAGCTAGATGCCTTTACTTAATATTCATCAAGGAGGTCCCCCAATTACAAGGATCTATGGTGCTCATTCTAAGGAGTAAAAATAAATGAATATACAGAGCAGGTGGTTAAGAAACGTTTCAGGGACAATCATGAAACAAGAGACTCATTTTGCAAGGAATTACAGACAAGTAAGAAGACAGACACAAAAGCAGATGCTCCAAGGTAAAGCATCTGGGTCACTCCAGGGTCACTCTAGGGTGACCAAGTCTGAGATGACATTCATTTGCTCATTCACTCAGTAATTATTTATTGACTCTGTACTACTTGCCAAGCACTCTAGTAGTGACTGGAGATATAGCAGTCAGCAAAAGAAACAAAATCCCTGGTGCTCTTGGGGTTTTCCTTCTCATAGCTCCTGAAAGCACCTGCATATGAAAGGATAAGTTGAAATCTGCTGAGATATCCATAAAGACAGACTGAGGGGTAAGGAAGAAGATGGTGAGTGTCATGAATTACCTGCAGTTCTCTGTTGATGGTGTGGAAAAGTTCATTGAACATATGATTATATTAAAAAAGGGATCATGATAAATATGAAAAAGAACAAGTCCTTGTTTGTATCAGTAAGATAATTAGTTAAGATCATTTTGAAGCAGTATAGATTATTATTTTTTAATACATAGAGTGTAGTCAAATTACAAAAGCATATCAAAATTTAGGCCAGATAAAATTTTCTTCATGGCTTGAGATACACCACTCAAATATGTCCCAGATTCAGGTTTACAGTTGGTTCCATATAGGGAACAAATACAGAATGGCCATGCCCATGTAAAGACAATCTCCTTCTCCGTGAACCTGATAGAGTTTAAAATATATAACCCAAACTTACATTACTCTGTTGAAATAAGGAGAACTCTTGCTTCCTATTACTTAGTTAATGAATTAATTAATTCTCACCTGGAGATTGAAAACTATACAACCTTACATAAGCATATTTTGACCTATAAGGAAGTTTAATTCAGAAGGTCAAACATCTCAAGAAATGTGGAACTGTTAACTTAGATACCGGTCGACTTTTCTTGGAATGTTTGCCTGTAACCTTCTTAGCATTGGCAAGAAAGAAAGTACAAAAGAGAAATTTAATTTTTAGTTGTAAGATATAAGCTGAAGCGGGCATACATTTAGGAACTTAAAGTACAATTAAGCCATTTTTTTCTAAATCATAAAAAGAAGTAGAAATAATAAGATCACAGAGGACTTAAAAAATTGGAATTACATGAAAATGGCTTAAAAACTTGTTTGACTTAGTTTTATTACTTAGCCCATCATGTAATGTTTATCTTCCGAAGCCACAGACTGTGTCTTGGGGAAAAAAATATTAAACAGAGATTTATTGTATTTGGACGAGTCAAAGATTTAAAACCACCCAGGACCAGAGAACCTTATAGGGGGAGGTTTTAATAAAGATTAAATGAATAAAGAAATATTCATTCCAGGGTGAACAATTTAAAATTATTCTCAGAATGCCATCTCATCAAAGATTTAAACAAATGAAATTAAGCTTTAAAGAAATGGATCATAGGAAAGTCCATCTGTTATCTCTTAATGAGAATGGAGATGCTGTCCTTTATCCTCTGTGAGATTCACTTAACCAAGGCTGAGATGCTTCACTGTGTGTATTACACAAGTATTTCAGTGGTAATAGATCTAGCTTGCCATCACAATCAACAGGCACATCTCATTACATGAGCTGGCAGTTAGATGCCTATGCCCTAACAAGAGATTAGACTGGTAGAGCGTGTTTCTGCTACTAGCAATCCCATCGTCTGCAACTGTAGTGCATGGCTGCTGTTTACCACAGTGGTGAAGGTTTAAGGTAAATTTAGCTGACTAATTAAGCACTGAAAAAGTATTAGGTAAGCCCTATGATGCATTAAATTCTCACAGCACTCTGAGAAAGTAGGTACGATTAATATAATTGAGCCTTGAACAACACAGGTTTGTACTGCACAGATCCACCAGGACTTATAGTATTGTAAATGTATTTTGTCTTCCTTATTTTCTTCATTACATTTTCTTTTCTCTAGCTTACTTTATTGTAAGACTATGGTATATAATACGTATAACATACTAACTACATGTTAATACACTGTTCATGTTATCGGTAAGACCTGTGGTCAAGAGTAGGCTAAATTAATATAGCCTATAATATATAAATACAATTCAGTGTTTGGAGAGTCAAAAGTTATACATGAATTTTTGACTGTGCAGAGCTGGGGAATTGTTGCCACTCCAAACCCCAAAATTGTTTAAGGGCCAACTGTATGCATTTTTCAGACAAGGAAAGTCACTCAACACAGTTAGGTAACTTGCCCAAAATTTCATAGACGGCAAGGGCTGGGGTGAGAAGGCAAGATCGGTACCCATACTATTCGATGGCAGATTATATGTTCCTGGATGCTTCCATGGAAGAAACGTCTGTTAGATCTTCTTTTCTTTCATCCTCTTGTTTAAATTGGGCTTCCAACACCACTATAGCATTTGCTAAAGCAAGTGAATGCAGTATTTTCTCTATGCAGAGCAGAAGGCTGGTGCCTGGACAGGGGTGCAATGGAGGAAAGAACAAACATGCACTAGATCAGGCCCTGCTCTTATAATGCATCTAATTGAAGATTAGAAGTATTGTCTAATGCACGAAGCAGAGCTCTGAGACTGTTCAGACTGGATGTCTATAACTACTTTACAGATGAGGAAACTGAGGAACAGAGATTAGAAGGCACACAATAGTACGTTTTATGGGACAGTGGTTTTCAGTGAAGATCACATCTAATTCCATTGACCTGAAACACCTACATGAAAGAGGCCTTTGTGTCCGACCAGGACCTGCCATGTCAGAATTTCCAGGCAGCAGTTCAGGAACCCACTTTCCTGAGCTCCACCGCCCCTACTCCTGCCCCGCCCCCAATCAGAGGTGTCTTAGACTCTTAACAATGCCGTGAATGAAGGCAGAGAAAGTTGAGGTGTTCCTTTGTTTTGTTTTGTTTTGTTTTTCTTTATTTGTTGTCATTTTTCTGGTGATTAGGTGATACTTCCCTGAGCTGTGATTTGGCCTAAGGCCCCTCAGACGATGCACAGGGCTCCGCGAGGTTGGACAGAATGCTAAGACCTACCTATGAGGACAGCGTGATTAACAACAGCTGTAGGAGACATAAAGGACATTGAGAGACAGCGGGGGAATCCGCTTACTTAGAATAGTCTA